GTCCCAGCTACTTGGGAGACTGAGGCAAGACAATCTCTTAAGCCCAAGAGTTTGAGGTTTCTGTGAACTGTTGTGCCACAGCACTCTACTCAGGGCAACAGCTTGAGACTCTGTATTGGGGGGGACAAAAAATATACACACACACACGTATATATATAGTTATAGAGTGATACCTGTTTCTTCCTGCTTTACTGGCATTCCTGTCCTTATGTGCCAAGGAGAGAAGAGCTAGTAGGAAAATACCTAGTCTGTCTCATACAGCCCAGGCTGGGCCAGACCCTTCTCTCATGTTCCGGAGCTCTTACTGTCCCCCATGCCATATCAGTACCCCAAACTCATTTCTTTGCTGTTTCCACTGTCAGTAACCACCTGTGTGACCTCAGGTGATTAACTTCCCAAGCACCCATCAATGCCACAGCACCACAGGACATCAACCATCCCCACTAATCTGCCACCACCTGGCTTATTGTTTTCAGCCTTTCAGTTCTTTATCTTTAAAGACCTCAGTTCATACTTACAACATGTAGGCAAAATTTTCAATTTGTGAATATAGTATCTGTTGTTGAAACAATCAACAAAAGCTCTTTCTACTCTGTAGAAAGCAGAGGTAACAAGGTAATAAAGCCAGACACTGAAAAAGACAAATGAAAGGGCAGCGCCTATGGCTCAGTGGATAGGGCACGGACCCCATATGCCAAGGGTGGCGGGTTCAAATTCAGCCCTGGCCAAACTGCAACAAAAAATAGCTTAGCACTGTGTCAGGCACCTGTAGTCCCAGCTGCTTGGAAGGCTGGGGCAAGATAATCGTCTAAGCCCAGGAGTTGGAGCTCTGACACCACGGCACTCTACCAAGGGCTATAAAGTGAGACTCTGTCTCCAAAAAAAAAAAAAAAGTCTCTAATTCATGGTTAACTACCTTCAACAATGTTTTAAACCAGGATAGCACAAATGGTGTTTGGAGTCACAAGTCAGGTTCAAATCCCTGCAAGTAAGCTCCATGATATTGAAGAAGTTAACTTTAATTTTTGCACCTAAGGCTCGGCGCCTATGACTCAAGTGGCTAAGGCGCCAGCCACATACACCTAAGGTGGTAGGTTCGAATCCAGGCCGGGCCCGCCAAAAACAACAATGACGGGCAACCAAAAAATAGCCGGGCATTGCAGCGGGCGCCTGTGGTCCCAGCTACTTGGGAGGCTGAGGCAGGAGACTCGCTTGAGCCCAGGAGTTGGAGGTTACTGTGAGCTGTGATGACACAGCACTCTACCCAGGGAGACAGCTTGAGGTTCTGTCTTAAAAAAAATAAATAAATATTTTTGCACCTAATCTTAGCCAAAAATCCAAGAAGCAATAATTACTGATTTTTGTCTCAAGTTTCCTTGCCTGCAAAAAAAAAGGGAGGGACACTAATACCTTATATGGTTGTTGAAAGTTAAATGCATATATGAAGCACCCAATACATCCCAGAACACAGGAGCTCAACTACAATAAACCATAATTGTTTGAGATTCCCTAATTTGTATCCTTTTCCTAAGTAAAGGCTATACTGGCCTATGCCTACTTCCTTTTTCCTCATAAGCAATGTGACCCCTGCTCCTACCTCCCAAATACAGAGTTGTCAGATTCCTATAAGAACTGAAGGAGAGGCACAGGCATGCAGGTTTTTAGAAGAAATCAGCCAACACCAGTTCAAAGAAATATGTTCATTGCTGGTTTTATATTCCAGAATGCAAAGGGAGAAGCAATTATACCTCAGGAAAATTCCCAGTAAGAATTGGTATGCTCTGCTGTATAAAGTCTCGCTTATCATGGCTGGGCAAAGAAAAGGATAGGAACTTTCAAGGAGGACAGAACTTTCAGTTTTTCACCCAGAAAGATTGACACGATGCCTTCAACCTTCTGTGCTGCCATTTAAGTCTGACAAGAGCAGGCCTAGCATCAATCAGCTCATGCTCTCCTAGAAGTTAGTTTTTGGGTCCAAGTACAAAATCTTTGGGTGGTCCTCCACCACTGCTGCTATGTCTGTCTGCTGTTGGGGAGCCGGGGAGGGGCTGCACCCCTAGAAGGGGGCCAGCCTCTGGATCTGGTTTGCTGCGTTTGGCCAGGTCCTCATTGTGAGCCTTGCGGATATGGCGGTAGAGGTCCCCTGATTGTGTATAGCTGCGCAGGCAGTAGCGGCACTCGTAGGGTCGCTCACGTGTGTGCACTGTGGCATGTCGCCGTAGTGTGTAAGAGCATGAGAAGGTCTTCCCACATGTCTTGCAGGTGGGAACATCTTCAGTAAAGACCCCAAAGCTTCCTGGGGCTGCTTCATACTCAGAAGGCAGGTAAAGTGGCTCATGCAGGGCTGGGGGTGCAGGCAGGGGTGAGGTCACCAGTCCTCGATGATACTGCCCTGGACCTGGCAGCAGATGATAGGGTAGATGAGGCTCTGGAGGCAGGAAGTGGTCACTTGGTCCCACCTCCTCTAGTCCTGCTGCCCCTGGCTCCTCAAAAGCCTCTGGCTGGGTGGGTTGTCCCCCATACATTGCTCTTCCAGGTGGGAATACTTCCTCAGGACCTTGAGGCTGTTCTTCTGACACATCAGTCTCCTCATCAGAGATCACAATAGCTTCTACTTTCACCTGGACCAGCTCAGCTTCAGCTGGGACTGGAGCCTGAGATGGAACGGGGACTGAGACCGGGACTGGGGCTGGGGCTGGGGCTGGAGTTGGAGCAGGAGCTGAAGCTGGGGGATAGAAGCCTTGCAGTGGTCCTCCAGCATCCCTTGATTCCATCACCCTCAGACCCTCAGGACCCACATCAAGAGGAGTCAGGGGCTCCAATGAAACTGCTGGGAGACTAGAAGAAAAGTAGTTTGCAGGAATGGTCTCTGTGGAGCTACTGGGGCTGGCAAGAGAGACATCAGCCACTGATGAGGGAGGTGCCCGTAGATGTGGTGAATCAACTTCCATGCCAGGCTGAGTAGTGTCAGCACCACCAGACACTGGTGGCTCATCTGGAGGACGGACAGTAGGTGAGGGAGCAGCCAGACCTTTCCATTCCCCTTTGCTCCAATGACCTGATGTCTCAACAGATGCCAGTGAAGGCTGAGGGCCACGAGAAGTGTTGGACAAAAACTCCAAACTAGGAGCCTGTGAATTGGTTTCCTCCTCCTTCTTGGTACTGTCAGCCTCTGCCAGGGCCCGGGCTTGCAGTCGCCGCTTACACACCTTAACGATGTCATTCATGTGTAAGTAGCTGGCAGCTGCCAGCACATCTTCTACAGGGGTATCCCCCCTCAGGGCCAGCTGGCCAGCATACATAAAGTCCAGAAGTAGCCCAAAGGCAGGGGCCGTGACAATCTCATTGTGAATACACACCAGATCCCTCTTGTCCAATTCCCGCTCCTTGTAGAAAAGCTGGAAGAATGGACTGCAGGAGGCCAGCACAGCCCGATGGGCCAAGAACTGTGTGCTACCCACCATCACGGTGCAGTCACAAAGGAAACCCTGGGACCGCTGCTCCCGGAGGCTCTGCAGCAGCTGCTGACTGTGTTCTGGGAACTCCATAGCACCCCACGAAGGGAATGGGGCCCAGAAAAGATCTCCACTAGTGGCTCCCTGGGAAGAGAGGATAGTGGGTTATGACAGGTATCATCCCCAGCAACCTTACCTTCAACCCTTAACTATTGCTTGCCATCCCAAGACAATCGCCTAATTTACTGCCCTTTTTTCCTCTAGGTCACACCCAAAGAGCTCCTAGTAGCCCCGCCCCCTGCCTAACCTTCGCAGCCGGCCCCGCCCCATTCAAAAATGCCCTGCCCCCGGAAGTCCCGCCCCCGCACCAGCCTCCGCTTCCTCGACGCCCTCCCGGTATCTTCCAGAGGCTCCTTCAACTAGGAATCTCTTTAGTTTCCAGACCTTCCCGGCCGATGCCGCTATGCCCCACTCCGTGAACTCCCTTAGCCTCTCCCTCTCGCATTCCAGAGGCTAAAGACTCTCACGGTGGTAACTAGAAGAGAAAGCCGATCCTTCACCCACCACCGAGCAGCCACCAGGCGAACTCCGCCCTTTCCTACCTTCCCAGTTTTAATTGGCTCAAACTGGCCTTCCCCTGTCATGGATTGGTCCACTGGTCACTTACCATCCGCGCTCTCCAAATGGGTGCTCGGGGCAGTCGCTCATGTAGCTAGGCACCACATTGGCTGGCACTTCTATCCTAAACTTTTCCTACTCGTCCCGCCTTCTCAGCCTCCGAGCCCTCTGGATTGGCGGAGATTCTCCTACCTGAGGCCGCGTGTGGCTCTGGGGGCGGGGACCGTGTTGCTCTCTCTGCTGGCGGCGAGGTGGCCAACCGCGCAGTGTTCTGCGGGAGCTGAGAGCACGTCACTCCCCATACAAGGGTGACTGGGAAAAGGAGAACCAAGATGTTGGTGTGGTACCCTGGAGGCCCTGGTCCTAGAAGACTCCGACGTGACCGTGGGCAGCAGCCGCGCGTTTAAACTGCAGTTAAAGGACCTTTCCTCTATCAAAAATTCCACTATACCCTACTACTTCTTTCCTCTAATCTAATGGTACTGGAACCCCTGGCTCAGTAACGATGGCATCAGACGTGGAAATAGCGTCGTGGTGTTCTTAGTCTGAACCCTACAGTCAATTTTTTTTTTTTTTTTTAGACAGAGCCTCAAGCTGTCCCCCTGGGTAGAGTGCGGTGGCATCATAGCTCACAGCAACCTCCAACTCCTGGGTTCAAGCGAGTCTCCTGCCTCCACTTCCCAAGTAGCTGGGACCACAG